AAAGACAACTTAGAAGGTCAATAGGAAAGGTCTGTGACCACAGTGAGAGAGAAGCTCAGTGCCAGCCCCAGTCCCGCTGCAGCCCAGGGGCAGTGGCTGCTTCTGGAACTCTTGGCCCATAGACAATAAGGATATCAGGTGAATGTTTAGAGGGGGATTTCAAGAGAGATTACTAAGGAATGCTGTCAGGATAGTGATTGAAAGTAGAAGATGGCCACTCTTCTTCATTAGAGAGGGTTCCAAAAGGTGTAGAATGTTAGAGTAAGCTCTATGCTTACCCAACCTATCAGTATCAGAAAAAAGTAGGTATGCTAGAGTCAAGGACTGGAATGAGACAAGATGCAACACAAAACATGAAAGCCTTTATTTAGATCCAATGTCTCCACTTGTGGTTAATAGCAGTAGTGCTCTCCATTTTTTGTAGTTGCAAGAGGATTAGATCAGAGCAAAGGGGCCGTGGAGGACGCAGCTTAATTTTTTGCAATGGTCTCCTCAATCCAACTCACATAGTTGCAGACTTTGGTGTAGACACCAGGTTTGTTTTTAAGGGCACAGCCATAACCCCAGGAGACAATTCCTTGGAGTTCTCCATTACAGACCACAGGGCCACCAGAGTCACCCTAGAATTGGAAAATAGAATGGGTCAGAGTTTTCCTTCCATGCATCACAGGGAATAGAGCTCAGAGCCAGACATATTGCCCAGGCAGGTCCAGAATATACATTTAGTTTGACATTAGTTCCTGAATAATGTTTTCCAGGGAATCTAGCCTTCTCTTTATTTCCCCTTTCCCTTCCCACTTCAATGTCTCCTAGCTCCTCCTCCTCATCTTGTCTGTGCCCTCAGGAAGCAGAACAAAGCTAGAGAATAAAGGTGAGGTTGGCTTCAAGGTTGCTTTGCCCATCCCGTCTTTTTTCTCCAAAGTGTCCCATCTACAACAGCCTTCCCTAAGGTGCCTGCATTAGTGCAAGCACAATGTCTGTGTTATCTTTGATCACTACAATCATACAGCTATTTTAGAAGGAAAATATTTGGTGTCCCCAGTCCCCAAGGCATCTTCCCATCTCACTTCATCCAGGAGCTCAAACTCGAGAAGGTTTTTCAGTTCCAAGTCTCCTAAATTAGTTGAAATATGGTAAAGAGGGAAACCATGGTTCTGAACTGAGTGGAGAGGGAGTGAGTGGATCCTTTTCAAGGATCTCTTTGCTGCTGCTGAGTCAAGAATCTCTTCCTTTGCCCATGCTTGGATCTGGGTCACAATTCTGGGTGGCGGTCCTTGGGCGAGAAGGAGCTCGGGCATGGTACAACTTACAGTAGCAGTTAAGAGAAAATTCTCTGCACAGTTCCAAAGCAGAAAAGAGTGCTTGTAATCACTCATAGACTAGAGCACAGGCCAAGAAAAGAGTCAACATCTCACCCTTGATCACTCCACTTTGGAAGAACTGAAAATTTACAGGTCCCTAGAAGTATCTCTGAAAACATCTGCACAAAACCCCCGAAGCTTGAGACAGTACATTCTCCACACTGGGAGCACACCACTACCTTAACAAAGAGTTTAAAACTCAAGTAATTGGATAGAAACATGAGCAAACTGCACAAAAAAAATGTCAGACCATAGAATCTTTCTTTGGTGACAAAGAAGATCAAAACATACAATCAGAAGAAGACAACAAAGTCAAAGTTTCCATATCCAAAGCCTCCAAGGAAAATATGAATCAGTCCCAGGCCATGGAAAAGCTCAAAAAGGATTCTGAGAAGCAAGTAAGAGAAGTAGAGGAAAAACTGGGAAGAGAAATTAGAGTGATGCAAGAAAATCATGAAAAACAAGTCAACAGCTTGATAAAGGAGGCCCAAAAAAAATACTGAAGAAAATAATATCTTAAAAAATAGCCTAACCCAAATGGCAAAAGAGGTCCAAAAAGTCAAGGAGGAGAAGAGTGCCTTACAAAGCAGAATTATCCAAATGGAAAAGGAAGTCCAAAAGCTTCCAAAAGGAAGTCCAAAAAAGGAAAAAAATAGTTCCTTAAAAATTAGAATGAAGCAAATGGAAGCTAGTGAATTTATGAGAAATGAAGATAGTATACAACAAAACCAAAAGAATGAAAAAAAAATAGAAGTGAAATATCTCATTGGAAAAACAACTGACCTGGAAAACAGATCCAAGAGAGATCATTTAAAAATTATTGGACTATCTGAAAGCCATGATGGAAAAAAAAATCTAGGCATCATCTTTCAAGAAATTATCAAGGACAACTGCCCTGATATTCTAGAACCAGAGGGTAAAATAAAAATGGAAAGAATCCACCGATCACCTCCTGAAAGAGATCCCCAAAGGAAAATTCCTAGGAATATTGTAGCCAAATTCTAGAGTTCCCAGGTCAAGGAGAAGATATTGCAAGCAGCCAGAAGAAACAATTCACGTATTGTGGAAACTCAGTCAAGATAACACAAGATTTAGCAGCTTCTACATTAAGGGACTGGAGGACTTAGAATATAATACTCTGGAGGTCAAAGGAAAAAGGATTACAGCCAAGAATCACCTACCGAGCAAACCTGAGTATAATCCTTCAGGGGAGAAAGTAGACATTCAGTGAAATAAAGGACTTTCAAGCATTCCTGATGCAAAGACCAGAGCTGAATAGAAAATTTGACTTTCAGATACAAGACTCAAGAGAAGCAGGAAGAGGCAAACAGGAAAGAGAAGTAATAAAGGATTTATTAAGGTTGAACTGTTTACATTCCTGCACGGACAGATGATATTTATAACTCATGAGACCTTTGTTAGTATTAGGGTAGTTGGAGGGGAAAAAATTATAATTATATTTAGAGGGAGAGAGAGAGAGAGAGAGAGAGAGAGAGAGAGAGAGAGAGAGAGAGAGAGAGAGAGAAAGAGAGAGAAAGAGAGAGAGAGAGAGAGAGAGGGCACAGGGTGAGTTGAATATGAAGTGATGATATCTAAAAAAATAAAATTAAAGGGTGAGAGAGGATTATACTGGGAGAAAGAGAAAGGGAGAGGTAGAATGGGGTAAATTATCTCACATGTGACAGGGAAGAAAAGGCTTTTACAGCGGAGGGGAAGTGGGGGAAGGTGAGAGAGAATGAATGAATTTTATTCTCATCAGATTTGGCTTAAGGGGGCAATAACATACACACTCAATTGGGTATGGAAATCTATCTTACCCTACAGGATATTAGGGGGAAAGGGGATAAAAGAGTGTGAGGGTATTAGAGGGAAAGTCGGATTGGGGGCGGGGTAATCAGAAGCAAACATTTCTGAGGAGGGACAGGGTCAAAAGAGAGAATAAAATAAATGGGGGCTGGGAGAGGATGAAGGGAAATAGTTTTATTTTTTTTTACAACATGACTACTATGAAAATGTTTTGCATGACTACACATGTATGACCTGTATCAAGTTGCTTGCCTTCTCAATCAGGGTGGGTGGGGAGTGAGGAAGGGAGAAAATATGGAACCCAAAGTTTTAAAAACAAATGCTAAAAATTGTTTTCATGTGTAACTGGGAAATAAGATATACAGGCAATGGGGTATAGCAATCTGTCTTACCTGACAGGAAAATAGAAGGGAAGGGAATAAGAGAAGGGGGGAGAGATAGAAGGGAGGGCAAATTACATGAAGGAGTATTCAGAATGCATTCTGTCCTCAAGGTAGGAAGAGGGATGAGATGGGGAGAAATTTTGGAACTCAAAATCTTGTGGAAGTGAATATTGAAAACTAAAAATAAATTAATAAGCAAAACTGCCCAAAAGAAAAAAGAAAAAAAGAAAGAAAGAAAGTGGTCTGAGAGATTCATGCTAAAAATTCTTAAATGGCACTTTAAGCAGTAAATAATTGTCCAGATATGTTACGACTCTATATATTTTCCTCTCTGACAACAAGCATATGTATGTTTGGTGCATTATAGGTTTGTTTCAATATGCATTCAAAAAAGCCACACTCTTGCACACACTCAATTTGGTGTTCATACAGCAATTACTGCAAATGCTAACTGCTTTTGACTAAATGCACTGCTTTCTTATAGCTTGTCAACCTGTCATCAAAGTGTGTACTGGGGTCAGCTAGATGGTGCAGTGGATACAGCACTGGCCCTGGAGTCAGGAGGACCTGAGTTCAAATCTGGCCTCAAATACATGATACTCACTAGCTGTGTGACCCTGGGCAACTCACTTAACCCCAATTGCCTCACTCTAAAAAAAAAAGTGTATATTGGAGAAAAGTTTTCCAGAGGGTAGTTGCCCATTTCCTAGTGTAGGAGAGGGGCAGAGGTCCACAGTCAAAATGAAGGGAGTGGTCATATAGAAGAAACAAGTCAAATGGTGGGAAGGAGGAATATAATTATGGCACAGAGAATGGGTACATGTCACAAACTAAGTGACAGGATGATTATGGAGGGAAAACCTTTGAACACTGAATACAAAATTTCTTTTCTCCTATTCCTCCACAGGGACAGGAGATCGGGAGACAGCAGGAGATTTCTAGAGTAAAGAAATATCAGTAAGGATGTTGAGACACTGAGCCATTGTCCTTTTCCTCACCTGTAACGGCCTCTAGAGGAGACTAACATGTTGCTTTGTGGAAGTAGACCTTGAGAAGAGTTGATATCTCCAAGATTTCCACAAGGTCCTTGAGAATTCTTTTAATTCAGGCTATAGCTAGAAGAAACCTCTCTAGCCATCACTATAGTTGTCAAATGCCCCTGACCTAAAATGTAAACCAGGATTAATAGCAGTAGTTGACTTTTGGCTTCATCACTGTAATACCACCTGAACTCCACTATGAAATGCTTTCTCTTCTTTGTTCTCCTGACAGCAGCTGGTGAGAATCTGTGGGTTTCCTGTTTTCAAGAAAGGTTAGAGACCTTTTGGGGAAAAAAAAAGAAGAAGAAAATTTGGCAAGAAAGATTGTCACTAGTAGCTAATAAGAACTGAATACTGATGAAACAAGAGGGCTTAAGAGGTTTCAGGAATTGTAGTGATGGGTGATGGGAGCAGGAAGTCACTGAATCTCATAACCTATCCATGAGATGAATCTCTTGCTTCAGTGTAAGCCATTACCTATAACCTCTCAGGATCTTTTAGTTACCTGTTTTTAGGCTAAGCCAAATGCATTGTACAGGATCTCTGTCCTGGGATCATTCTGAAAAAAATTTGAATTTGTGTCTTCCAAAGGGAAATCTCCTTCCCCTTTCTCTGTAATTACATGTTCTCTTCCTGTATAGGATAGAGAAACCTCATAGAAAAGGGTATTAGTAAGGAAGTGATAAAGGCCTGCTGCCTGAGTATTCTGAAATCTCACCTTTTTCTGTTTCTCTCTGCTCTCTCTGTAAACTAACTAGCTGAGCAGACCTTGGCTTCCCTGGGAAACAATTATGATGATGCTACAAGCCCCTATATGGCCTACCTGAAATCCAGTTCCCCATTCTGCATGGGGACTCTGATTCTTTCCCAGTGGGTGATAACAGCAGCTCACTGCAGCATACCGTGAGTAATGATGGCACTTTTGTTCCTATCAGTCTTTTAAACTTTAAAATTAGGGAGGTAAGGTTAAATCACTTTACCTATAAAATGACAAAGTTGGTCTAGAACCATGAAGTCCCTTCTATTCTAGCATGGTATGCTTCTATGGTTAACATCACATTCCTAGTAGTTATGAGAAGGGTCCAGGACTGGGAATGTAGAAAAGGAAATGTAGAGAAGGGGAAATTTCTATGAGGCTCTGTCTCATAGTCAACAGCTGACCTTTCCCTTGGGCTCAAATGAATTTTTGTGATACCCAAGGATGGGTGTGATTGACACCTTCCCAAACACTTCAGTGAGTTTCTAGGGGGTTTCTGGACTCTTTTGTCCCTGGTTTTTCAGTAAATGGATGTTCAAGTCAATTAACCTCAACACATGCAGTCAATCCTCAACTTCTGTTGGGGTGACATTCCTAGAAAATGGCGTATGTCAAAAACGTAAATGTTGATACATTGAACGTATGGGGGAATGAGAGGTTAGGTTCCTGTAACCACCAAAAACTGGAATCGCTCACTAGAGAGTGCTGAAAATACACTTTTCTGCATATAATTCTTTAAAACAAAACATTAATTCTGATAACATGCACTTTTCCTAACACAGTAACCACAAAATGCAGTACAGAAAATAAAATTGTTAACGTACAAAGTATTTTTCCCACTAATAATTCCCTACGATTTTGTGACCTTTTATGCTACCACTTGAATTGAAAAAACATATTAATTTCAGGCAATATTCATTTTTTATAGCACACAAAACTACCATGCCATAAATACTGTATACAGCAAGTAAAATTCTTAAAACTAAAATATTTTTTAACCTGATTCTTATCTTCCACTGTATCAGATTGCAGTGTCAGGGCATTGCACTATATTCTATGCTCTTGCTAACCTCTGTACCTTTGCCCACCCTCTGAAAACCAAGAGGTTGATGGGACTTTAGTCACTGCTACCCAAACATGCAGAGACTGGCAAGTTCTCCACATCAGAGAACCCAAAGGACTTGCTCTATGCTTTGGAGGCATAATTGTAGCACAGAACTTGAGTTTCAAAGGCAAACAGTGAAAATATACAACAAATGTATGGGAAGCTCTTTACACTGGTAGGTGGAACAAGATCAATGAAGTGCCTAGTAGAATACCAGCCACTCCACAAACTTGCACACACCGTGCCTCTCAATTTTTTCTCTAATGTGCATAGCCCCGAATATGTGAGGTTGCCAACTCGAAAGTGAAAATGAGGTTACTAATAAAATCACCCGAATGCTTAAAGTCATGAAAGTTAGTCACGTAAATACTGAGGATTGACTGTACTTATTAACACCTATCATGTTTCTGGAATGGCTCTTGGTCCTATGAAAGAGGCAAAAGAAATAAAACACAATGTAGGCTCTTCAAACAATCATAGAGTCACAGAATTTTAAAAGCCTTAATGATCTAGTCCAATTCCACTATTTAACATAAAATGAAACTGAAACAGAGGTAAAATAGCTTGATCTGCGTCACTTAACTAGTTCACACAACCTCATTGATGGAAGAGATCTCTGAGATCCCTTCCTTAGGTATCCTTATATACACAAGGATCCCTTTACAACTTCCACACCAAGTTGACCATTCAGATGCCACTAGAAGATCTTCAGTATAAGGAACTCATTATCTTTCTAGGCAGCACATTGCCCTTTGGGACAGCTCTCATTATCAAAAAGTTAGTGATCAACTTCAGATGAAAAACTATTTCCTTACTTCCTTCTCTTCTCATTATATCATACTGCCTCCAAATATTCCCAAAGGCTATGGTATGAATTGGGAAAAGAAAACACATAACAGGGTGCAGATTAATGAAATATGTTCTCTACTCTTACAGCAATAATAGGAAGGAGTTTTAAATGATAGAAGTAATTATGGAAATGAGGAATCCTAAGTCACATTCAGCATTGGATGGTTTGAGAGTGTCTGGGAATGATTAATTCATGCTTTCAAGACCTATCATACCTCTTCTTTGCCCCGACGCCTTCCCCACCTTTATTTGTTCCCTTTCTCAAAGGTCTCAGATCAGGCTGGGAGTTCTTCAACCCAATGTAAAGGAAAAGAGACAGCAGATCCAGAATTGCTTAGTCAACATCAAGCACCCTGACTTCAACCTCAAAAACCTGGACAACAACCTCATGCTGATTAAGTTAAATAAGCCTGCCAATCTCAACAAACATGTGGGCACAGTGGCCCTGGCCATGGCTCCTTCTGAAACTAGAAGGTGTTTCATCCCCGGATGGATCTGGACACAATGGAATAACTGTGAGTGCCCTCAACGAACTCTTGAGCCATTTCGACTACTGGGATATCTTAGAAATTTATAGGAGCAAGTAGGGAGAAATGTCTAGAAGGGGTCCAATAAGAACTTGAAAGGGCTATGGTTATCAGCTGCAACCATCCAACTGGTATTGGAGAAAAGGTGCTGTACTTGTAGTCAGAAGACCTAGCTCTGACATTTATCAGCCATGGTGAGAAGCAAAATATAGACCTCACAACTCATCAGTTTTGTTCTTAGGTTATCACTAAATATTTTACACATCAATGATTAGATAACGTTAATTTAAAACATGAGAAAAATTAAATTAGTTTTAACCTGAGTATGTGAACTGATGGGTTTCTCTGACTTTAATGACATTATATATATATATATATATATATATATATGCAATATAATTATGTAATAATATTGTGTGTGTGTATATATATATATATATATACACATATGCAACACAAGTGTCTGTTTATTTACAAGAACATTAATTTGAAAACTAAACAATCAAAAACTTCACAGAGTATTGGTAGACATTATCACAGCTTTCTAAAAGCCTCTTCACAGAAGGTGCCATTGTCCATTGATTAGGAGTATCAAAGTAACCCTGGACCAACATTCTGGCAAACAGAGGTGACTGGTAAACAGCTGACCAAGTCATTCAACCTCTGTAAGAATCAGTTTTCTTAAATGTAAAATAATACTTGGCCTGGCTTCATTTCACAGGTTGTTGTAAACAAAGTTCTTTGTAAACCGAAAAGCACTTTAAATTGGGGAAGGAAGAGGAAGAAGGACGAAGCCATGAAGGGATTTTTTTAAGTGAATGGAAAATAAGGGGGAATAGGGAACCCTTATTGCCACTTTACTGTACCCATTCGTATATCTGCCCTGGGTTTAGTTGATCCCAAATTTTAGTCACAGGCACATTTAGGCAAGATTTCATAATAGCAGCCCTTCTTTTTACTGAAGAATCTCTAGAGGTAGACTAGGTGGTCCTCTTGAGGAGCAGGAAGGAAACCAGGGGTGTGCTGATAAATGTTTAAGAAACATCTTCCTGGGGGAAAAAATGATACATTTTTATGTTTAATCTATACTATTAGCATGTTTTCCATCACTTTCTTAAGTCTAGATCATCAACAAAACAAGAAATCACACCTTGATTTCTCATATCTACCTATTTCTGAAGTACAAATGCTTACACTGAAAATTTCAGTTTGATAGAGAAGGTCCTAGCACTCTTTTATATTTATATTATTATTATTGTTATTGTAACCATTAATATGCTTAAAGAAGTGTAGTAGGCTCTGAGGAAGATGCAAAGATGAATAAAATAGTCCCTGCCTTCAATAAAGCTTACACTCGAGTAAGGGGAGTGGACATATACAGAAACCATTATAATACACAATGAAATAGTATGAGTCAGTCAGTCAGTCAACACTTATTGATTACAATCTGACAGGCACTGTCCTAAACCCTGGAGAAACGATAAGAACAAAGGCAAATGTATAGTTCAAGCCTTCAACGAGCTAGTAGGGGAGACAGCAGGAAAATGTGTATGTGTGTGTGTGTGTGTGTGTGTGTGTGTGTGTGTGTGTGTGTGTGTGTGTAATATATGTATACATATACATATACATGGATATATACATATATACATGCATACACACACGATATAAACAATGTAATCCATACAATTGAAGGTAATTTCAGAAAGAAGGCCTTAGCACTGGTGCGAACCAGGAATGGCCTTCTGTAGAAACTAAATCTTTTTTTTTTCATCACGGAATAAAAAAGCATTTTCATAACATACTACAATAAAAAATATCATTGCACATGAAACTGCAAATCAGCTATGCACAATTTGCTATTCCTTTCAATTACACAACAAAATTATCATGTAATTTTTTTTCTTTTTTTCCTCCCCTCTCCCTGCCCTGGAGACAGCTATCATCAGAAACACACACATATGGGGCAGCTAGGTGGAGCAGTGGGTAGAGCTTTGGACTTGGAGTCAGGAGAACCTGGGTTCAAATGTAGTCTCGGACACTTGATGACTATTAGCTGTGTGACCCTGGGCAAGTCACTTCACCTCGATTGCCTAAGCAAAAACACACACATACACACATATGTAAAATTATTTGATTTGTTCTTCTACTTATCAGTTCTTTCTCTGGATGCAGATAGCATTTTTCTTCACATATCCTTTAGAGTTAATTTGGATATTCATAATTGACAAAATAATATTCATTCAAAGCCATTCTTAAAACAATATTGCTGTTACTATATTCACTGTTCTCTTGGTTCTGCTCATTTCACTCCTCTTATTTCATGCAAGTCTTTCCATGTCTTTCTAAAATCATTGAGCTCATCATTTCTTACAACACAGAAGTATTCCATCACAATTATATACCACAACTTGTTCAGCCATTCCTCAATTGATGGGCATCCCCTCACTTTCCAGTTCCTTGCCACTACAAAGAGAGCTGCTATAAACTTTTTAGAAGGGCAAGGAAGCCAGGAGGCAGAGATGGAAGGGAGAGCATTCCAGGCACGAGGGAAGGCCAAGAAGGTAGATGGTATGTCATGTGTGAAGAGCAGTAAGTAACTCAGTATATAGCTGGAGCATAGAAGATATGTAGCAGAGTAAAGTTGAACAAGACAGGAAAGATGGAAAGGGGTCAGGTTGTAGCATTTTAAATACCACAGTATAAGCTAAGCAAAAGATAATGACAAGGTCCTCTTAAAAGGTTAGAGAAGAGGGAGAGCATTTCAGGCTAGATCAGGAAAGACTTCATGGAGGAAGTAGCATTTGAATTGAACCTCAAAAATTGGGTAGAATTTCAGTAATTGGAAATGTGGGGAGAGGGCAGATAATGGAGGACAGTGAAAGCATCACAAATGGAGGAAGTTGCAGGCCATGTTAAAAGGATGGTAGGTAGTATAATTTTGGGAGTATAACTGGTGCTGTGGGGGAGCATATAATTTAGATTCTATTGGTGAAAGTAACCCTAGGATTCGGTTTCTCTCTCCTCTTTCCTGTAGCAAGTCACCCAGATATCCTGAGCTGGGTAATCCATGACATTCTCCCTGATGAGGAATGTGCCAAAGTGCTTCCAGAAAAACTGTCAGCAAATACAATGTGTGTGGGATTCTACGATGATTTCATAAGCCCATGCCAGGTAGCTCATCCCTTCCTCTGCAATGGTCCCTGAGGAGAAAGAAGACAAAAGGAACAGGGATAAGGGTGCTATAGCTGTAGATAGCACAATAACAAGTAAAGTAACACCCATCATTACTCCACCTCCTTGAATACTGAGTTCAGGGAATGAGGGACTAAACAGCAAAGTCTTTGCCCATCTCTGTCCCTGAACTGGAGTCTGGAGTCTGGAGTCTGGAGTCCTAAACTAGGAAGGGAGGGCTCTCTGGGCAAGCAGGCCCACAGCTACCCAATTTCCCCTGCAAGTGGATTTAGGCTTGGCTTTGCATGCCTCCTGAGGGATGGAGAAGACATAGACAGACAGATGGAAAGGAAGATGAATTCTAAGACCCCTGGTTCTCCTGCTAGAAATCCTAAATGCAGGATCACTTAACCCTGTTTGCCTCAGTTCCACATCTGTAAAATGAGAAACAAACAGCAAAAACCACTCCGGTCTTTTTGCCAATACAACCCCAAAAATAGTTCTCACAAAAACATCAGACACAATTGAACATCGAGGTGTCGCATTTAGTTCCACAAGACACCTTCGAGGTCATTTAGCGCAACTCCCTCATGAAGTGACCTGTCCACAGTCACCTAGCGTATAAGAGGCAGAATACAAATCCAACTTGTTGCACTGGAAAGCCACATTGTTTTTAACATTGTGCCAGTCTGCTTAACAAGCTCTTTTTTCTCCTTTTTACTAAAAATTATTCAATTTTCAAATTCATTTTTCAATTATCAAGCATATATTTTTCTCCCATCCATGCCCCCCATGGGAAAAAAAGGAAAACAAAACTCTTGTAACCAAAAAGAAAAAGGCATAGTTCAGCTATACAAATTCCCATATTGTCCAGGCCTAGAAATCTGTCTCATTCTGTACTTTAGTTCATCACGACTGCCAGGAGCTAGGTAGAATGCTTTATCATTGTTCCGCTGGTCGGAAGAGTTGACATTTGAATTGATTAGAGTTCTTTAGTTTTTCAAAATTGTTTGTTGACGTGTTCTTTTTTTCCTCACTGGCAGGAAATCTCAGCTGTTCCAGCCATATGTGATGGAAGGATCCATGGGATTTTGACCATGTCATATGGGTGTGTTCTGCAGGGAAGTGGTGGGCTCTTTGCCAAAGTTCACAAATACAGGGAATGGATCCAAAATGTCACTTCTTCCTTTTGACTTCACCTCTTGGCCTCCCATTTCTCCAGCTCTACCTTATGAACGCTGCTCTAGGCCACATACTCGTTGCCTTATCTTTTGTGCTGACACAGGATGCCAATAAAGAGCCATGCTAAGGCTGAGTCTCTGGTTAATAAGTTGGTGCATGCCTCTTGCTGGTTCAAAATGTAGGTCCTAAGAAACAGTAGGGGATCAAAGATTGACCCGCACTCCTCACCTACAGCCAAGGGTAGGGTACAAGACTTATGTTACAGGAATGCTTGGATACATATCTCACCTACCCACCCATTTATTCTTGTATTCATCCATCCATCCATTCATTTGGCAAATATGAAGTTCCTACCACATGCTGAGTACTATGAGGAGATATAAAATTTAAACAAGACACAGTTGCTGCTATCGTGGAGCTTATGATGGTCCAAGTGGCTGAAACAACAAAACAAATAAGTGTAATATGCAGCATTGCATAAGTGCATTAGAGAGCCACAAAACAAAGGGCTGCCCTAGGTCGTGGAGAAAGCAATCAGAGGGAAGGAAGGAGATTCATGGTGTCTATTTCCCTTAGAGTGGGATGATTTCTAGATCATTGGGATCTCTGTCTCTCCCTTCTAACATCAACATCTACTTAGAAACTGGCAGAACACACTTGCAGATCTAGGTCCTGACAAGGAAGGGGTTTAGAGAATATTCCCTTGAAGGTGGCCCCACTCTGCCCCTTTGAGGCTCCCTCCCCTTCCCTCCCAAGGGTTTCGTCAAGTCTCTAAGCAACATCAGAGCCATTCCAGCTTCCAGTTCTTATGACCTCTTCCAAAGCTTCATCATCAAGGCGGAATCTGTTCGTTGTCATGAAGTGGATCCTCCTGTGGTCTCTTCTGGCTATACTTAGTAACAAAGAAAACATCCTTTAGTACTCTGCTCTGTATTTTAGGCACAACTTCCACTAGGAACAATTTTTACTAATTAATCATTGTTGTAAATCCAAGTATTTTTTAAGCGAGACAGAGAGAGAGAGAGAGAGGGAGAGAGACAGAGAGAGAGAGAGAGGATTGTGACTCATATTCTAAGACATCTCTCTAAACAAAGATATTTTGACATAATAGTTCTAGGAATTCTTAGTGAGGAAAATGTAACACAATATGATGAAATACTTCAGGGTTAACATTTGACTCCATCTCATAGAACTTCATCTGAAAGTCACTTGATTTTTCAGGAACAGTCCTGGAGCATTTCTTTTAAAACGGCTCATCCCAATTTCACCATTTCCCTCAGGGGCTCTCCAACAGCTGGTCACAAGGTCACCTGAAATCATCAAAGGCACTTCCTTCCTCTGATCCTTCAGGAAAGGGCGAAAGAAGGTAATGCTCTAAATAGATCATAACTCTAATCCCTTCAGGGAGAGGAGGAAAACCATGGTCTTAAATAGACATAAAATAGTTCTCTTTCTGTTTGGTTACCACCATTAATCCATACTCTGGGGCCTTTGCTTTCATCCTTGACCTTTTACACACTTTCCTAAAAGAAAGGAATGGGTTAAAAGAAAGAAGATGTAAGTCTGGAAAGGACTGGAGAGGTATTTATTTCTTAGTATTTTCAAGTGGACTAAAAAAGAGATTTTTAATATGTTTCCCCATTGATGGGAGGGTCCCTGTGTCTGTGCAAGTTAGGGGAAGGCCTATCTTTATTGGAGCAATAAGTGGGAATGAGTTCTTCACCTTCTGTTGAGATGACTGTAAAGAATCCCAAGAGAATGAATTCATAATCTGTGTGATCCTTAGCAGTACGATAAAGCTAGAGATCCTTTCTCAGAACAATGTTTTTAAATGCATAAAGTAAAATACATAGAATTATAAAGGAAAGAATTGTAATGAAAGACAGTGTTAATTTTTTTAATCCCGAAGACCCCAGTTTAGTTTAAGAATCCCTCTAGAAACTATGTGACAGATGATGCATGTACTCCCTTTGTGCTGATCTCTTCTCTGCTCTCTTCTTCTATTTCCAGCAATATTCTTTGTGTGTCATAGTAGACAGGGCATTAGACCTGAAGTCAGAAAGCCCTGAGTTCAAAACTTCCCTCAGATGCTTATTTACTGTGTGACCGGAAGCAAGTCAATGTTCCTGTCCCTCAGTTAACTCACCTGTAAACTGGGGAAGTGGAACTTGAGGGGCCTAAGATCCCTTTCAACACTAATCCTAGGAATCCCATGATAGACTTCAGAATAGCTGTGAGTCTATACTTTGTTCTTTTCACAGTGCCTTTTGTTTCTTCTAGTAGCTTTTTCTTATCTGCTTTGTGTTGTTATGATATTCTCTTTCCAAAGGCATTTCTCTTCTCTAATATGGGGTCTCTAGGTAGACTATCTATTCATTTCCTTGATTTCCCCAGCAGTGATACTTAGCTACAATATTTAGTACATTATCTTATCAGCTGAGTTATAGCAATTCCTCATTTCTGGTCCATCAGGGGCCGCTGATATAGTATAGTCACAACCATTTGGTTATCACAGATTGTACATGCATTCAGCAGACAGCACTATCTGTGGGCACTTTAATTTGTTTTTTGTTTGTTTGTTTGTTTGTTTGTTTTGTTTTTAGGCAATTGGGGTTAAGTGACTTGCCCAGGGTCACACAGCTAGTAACTGTGGAGTGTTTGGTCTGAGGCCAGATTTGAACTCAGGTCCTCCTGACTTCAGGGCTGCTGCTCTACCCACTGCACCACTGAGCTGCCCCTATTTTTCTTATCATTGGCAGATTCCAATTTTCCATTTTTGGTGCCCTGGCTTCCAGTGCCTCAGACTTCCACGGTCCCAGATGGACATTACCAGGGAACTAGCAATTGCTCAATCACCTTTCTTCATTAACAAAATTAATTTTTGAAGTTTTCTACTCCTTTGGTCATTCGATTATTTTCATAAATGCATTAAAATGTTCCCCTCCTCCCCGGAGACTTGAGTTATGTAGAGTAACATTAACTAGTCATAGGCATTTTCCTCTTCCTCAAAATGGTAGCTTGACTCCTTCATATATTATCTTGGGCTGCTTCAGTAGCTGCTTTTAGTTCATATCATTGTATTTGAACTGGAAGATTCTGTAGTTTTCTATATATTGAGGATCCCTGATTGTATTGGTGTGAGCAGTCTGCCACATAGATTTCAGCCCCTTTGTACTTTAAGAGATGATCTTTACAGTTTCCAAAAGTCTTCACTCATCTCCTAGGGGCCACCGTACCCATGAGAAGCCTCTCTGACCTACTCCATCATCTATACTGGGATTCAGTTAACAGATCATTGTGAAGGCCATTCTTACAATCTTTTCTGATAGGGAATATATGATATAGTTTCTGTTCTGCTAGCACAGATTTCAAGAATTCCATTTCCTATTGAGATATCAGAGTGCAACTTTGTTAGAATTGTATTAATTAATATAAAATTTAGCACAAGTATTATTATTATTTATTTCCCTTTTCCTTACACATTCATTATAATGGGATTCATTATTTCAAACTTATATCCCTCTTTACCGTTTATCTTGGTTTAAAATCATTTCCTTTAGACTTCTAAAGTGAATCCGTATATGATTCTCTTAAACAATGCAGCTAAATTGGTGATATTTTTATACAATAATTGGCATGACAACACAACTGATCTGGGGAGGTGACTATTTTTTCTTAGCAGTTGCTCAGATTCACCACTAGATGGTGGAGAAAGTAATGCCACCTGTGCGAGCAGAGCCTGTGTTCATAGAATATTGGAGCTGGAAGTGGGGATGTGTTGGAACCAATTTGAACCTGCTCGGTACAGCTGGTTGCTCAATTTTCAGTGTGAGCATTTACACCCCAGAAATCATCAAAAGGTACAAATCAGGGCTTGATTTATTGTTTTGCTGTTGTCTAGACTAAAAAAAGTGGTGGGAAATGTTAGTAATGCAGATTAAACTTGAAAATACATGTTAAATACTTTGTTTCCTCTGGAGAACCAGCTGTTAAACATTTAACAGCACACCTCTGGTTGGAATGGACTTAAGAGCTGGTTTACTTCAAATTTCTCATTTCAAAGATGAGGCCCAGAGAGTCAAAGCAAAGATACACAGCTTGTAGCAAAAATTAGGATTAATACATGAGTTTTGAAATTGCCAATTAATGCTCCTTCCATTACATTTCTGTATCTTTTTCCAGCAGCTTATAGCTTGTTAGTCCTTGTCTCTTAGGCCAGTGTTTGCAAGAAAGAATCAAAAATATATGTACTTTTCTTAATCACTCAACTATATATTAATAAAACAGAGAATTTATCATTTCTTTCTTTTTAGGAAATTGGGGTTAAGTGACTTGCCCAGGGTCACACAACTAGTAAGTGTTAAGTGTTTGGTGTGAGGCCAGATTTGAATTCAGGTCCTCCTGACTTCAGGGCCAGTGCTTTGTCCACCACCACCCAGCTGCCCCTGATTTGTATCTAATGTAGAAAGATCCAGGCAAGTCAGGTCCCCAGAGCAAGTTTCTGTCTCTCCTCGTGGTTCCAGGGTCACCTCTATTTTGGTAAACTCTCCTCTGCAATATAAACTACCAGATATCACTGTCCTAATATATTTTTCAAGTGTCAGTTACTATCTCACCAATATCATGATAAGCAATTGACATCAATTAACTTTTACAAAGGGATATTTGCTGAGAAGACAGAAGAACAAAACTGTTCCTCTTCCTCCTTCCCCACTCCTACTCACTAACAAATCAAGAAACACAATCTCCATTGCCACCTTGGTCCCTAGGGAGAGTGGCCTCAAGCTTCAAGTCATGACTACAAACATCTGCAACAACTATGGGAAGCATACCCAGTAGACAACTCGCTCCCTTATTTATATAGCTCCTCAACTGAGCCATTGCTCAGCTGGATTCCATGCCTGCTCCGTGGGACTATGCTCCTTGCCAGGCATATCTGGTGAATTCTAACGTGGAGTCCAGGTCCTCTGACTCTTTCATGGCTCTTCCAGCCTGTAGAGGCTCACAAGGTCATAGGCTGGTCTATTTCATCTCCAACACTCATTCACAATGGAGCAAAAAGAACAAACATGAAGAAGCAAAGAAACAGGGGTGCCGTATATTCACAGGCCACACAGTGAACCAGGTGGGGAAAGAAGGGCAGCAACACAGCTGAACTCTCCCAGCATTTCCCTCCAAATAACTTCAAAATAACACTGCAAATCAAATCTGGAGTGGCAGAGCCTACAAAAGGTAAGGGTGAGACATTTTTCTGGCCTAAGAAAACTTACACACTCCATTATGTATAGAAACCTAACTTAGCCAATAGGGAAAGAGGAGCAGAAGATAGGAGAAAGTGTTGGGAGGAGGTGATAAGAAGGAGGGCAGATTAAGGGAGGCCATGGTTAGAGGCAAAGTACACCTTTGAGGAGCAATAGGATAAAAAGAGAAGAAGAAAGAGGAAAATGGGGTGGAGGGAAATACAGTCAGGAATCATAACTGTGAATGTGAATGGGATGAGCTCGCTCACAAAATGGTACTGGATAACAGAATGGATTAGAAACCAGAATCCAGCCATATGCTGTTCACAAGAGACACACTTGAAACAGAGAAACACATACAGTTAAAATAAAGGACTGGAGAAGAATCTAATACGCTTCAGCTGAATTTTTAAAAAGGCAGGAAGGGCAGCCATGATCTCAAAGCCAAAACAAAAATAGAATTGATTAAAAGAGATAATCAGGGAAACTTCATTTTGCTACACTGTACCATAGACAATCATCTTGTCACAGCAAGTTACTCCTCAAATACATATTGAGTATAG